GGGCAGAAAGTGGAGATGATTGCAGATGACAAAACTTGAATAGAGGTGAAAGGAGAACATTTTAGAGAAGAACATTTTTTACGTCACCGCCAGGTTGCGAAACCGGGACCTATAGAATGCGAGGCGAACACTGTACCGCTAGGCCAAGAGAGCTCCGTAATGTAGTGTAATCTACATATTGACGGTCAGCTGTTTAAAGGTTGGTAAGCACAGAAAGCAATATTTTTACTGGAGACAGAAGAAAACGTTTTTAAAAAAGGTTACAATATTTTATTTTTTTGTTGTCGCTTTTTTTTAACATTTAGAATTCTGATTTCGACAAAAAGTTTTTAAGCACGTGCAACCGATACCATTAAGAATCTGCAATGTTAAAAAATCGAAATTGTTTGTTTATCACATTTTAACAGCTCGCTGAGGATGTCTTGGGTCTCTCAAATGTAGCCTATTGATTGCATTGCTCCAACCACCACCCAAGGATACTTATACAGGGTCTGTAAAAAATAAAAAGACCCACTTAAAGGGATGACATCGATCATCTCAGCCCTGATTTGAACAAAACTTCGAAAAAAAAATTCGAGTTTGTAAATATGAAAAGAAAATCAATCAACGTGATCAAGAATATTTGGATTGTAAAACTTTCAATCAAAATTACTATTGGGTACTGCGCAAACGGTTATTAAAGTGTTTAGTTGCGAGGACGTTATCGGCTCCAGTTTCCGTATAAGGATGGCAAAATCACTACAGTCACATTAAGGATATATCTCAACATGCTGGGAAAGTTCAGGAGAGGTTTGGAGAGAAAGTGTAATGCTGTAGAGGCCTGGTCATAGTTGGATAGTGCTGTACTCCACATGTCATCGTACTTAACATGGTAAGTGTGGATGGTTTGGTTTCGAATCCCAGTTAGAAAACCGAATTCAAGTATTCTGCGTGCGAAAGAAACATGCTCAGCCGCTACACAACAGACATAGGTATGATCGAAGTAACTTCTAAAAACGGAACAATCATACAGAGAGTAGAATGAACAAGAAACAGAAATACATGCAAATTTCAGCTAATTTGTATAATAAATGAGCCGTTTTATTCAGTCGGTTCAGCTGGGAGGCTTGCGTGTAGAGAAACGATGTTCCGAAGCTGACAGCTTGAGCAGCGATGACTAAGTCTCCCAGTCTGCTGAACCTCTTCCAACCAACCACAGCCAACCATAAAACAGCGCGCTTGTTCTATCGACCAATCACAGCTGTTGTTTCTGTCCTTGCAACATATTGCAGCAGTTGTTGAATAAAAGCTAGAAGAGGCGAAACAGAGAGAGACTGACATGAAGTAAGTCCAATGACTGTAGTGGTATTCCAGTACGCAAAGTATGAGTGGTCAAGCGGTCAAGCAGTTGAGAGGGAGTCCAGTAATGTATTTAACAGACGGCGCCATTTAAGTAGTTGTTTAACGTGTTGATGCCCGAGACATGGGTACAGCCGGTGGCAATGAGATCACTGACGAAGTTTTGGCATGTCACTTGGTTGGAGCATACTGCTTGTACACATCTGTGGAAAGAAGTACAGGCAAATACCAAGTTTTAAATGAAGCTCAGATATAGAACGCATAAACGTTTTCAAAAAGTGATCTTACAGACATGGGAAAAAGAGACACCCGAACATGAAGGATAAAAAGTATAGGTCAACTCTTGTTTAAACAAAACAACTCCACTGACACACCACATATCAATATGAACATTTTGAATAAAACTTGACGGACAGAGTAGACAGAGACACTATATACACAAGTAAAGGCAAATTCTCAAATTATCTAAGGGATAGAGAAACAAGGGAACATTTTCAAATTATCTCCTGGTGACAAAAGAAGTGAGACACAGCAGTGATGACTAAGTCTCCCAGCAGTCTGCTGAACCTCATGCAAATAACCAACCAAAGCCAGCCTTAAAACAGTGTAGTTTTTGTATCGATCAATCACAGCTGTTGTTTCTGGTCAAGCACATCAAGAACCACATTAATTCAAAGACAGATTAGAAAGAGCAGTTGAAGCAGCATCAAAACATGACTACTGTATGGCTCTGCTTAGGGATATTATTAATGGTTAGGCATCGGATACAAAGTGTGACCGAGATGGGCTTTGTCGTGGGATAGGTAATTGAGACGTACAGATTGAAAGGAAAAAGAAAGAAAGACAGACACAGAGAAAGAAATAAAGAAAAATGAAAGATAGACAAAAGACAGAACGAAAGATCGACCATCGGTCTGTATGGGAACACAACCTGCAGAGTCCCGCCCGATGCCCACTCGGATATTGGACCACAGAGCGTTTAACATTTACAGGACTATAGAATTAACTTAGGAAGTCCACTATCTTCCTCGAAATTGTAAAGGTTTAACGCCCTTTATAACACGATAAGTTTTAAAAAATAAATCACGCGAAACCTTACAAATTAACGTCTATCTCCGATAGGACTGGCAAAATGTAAACCGGATAATAAAATTATTGACCTGACAATTAGGTAAAGGAATTTTGTCACAAAGAAGTGAACAGCAATACTAATTGTTTATTTGTACGCACCCCCCCCCCCTTTTCCCCGTTTCTATTTATTCAATCTTTTTAATGTAAATGACAACGTGGGAATCGGGGCACGGGTAGTTTGGGGAGGGGGGAATGGCGATACAAGCTCTCTCTCTCTCTTGTATGTCTGTTTACCTGTGTGTCTGTCTTACTGTTTGTATATTTGTTTTGTTCGTATGTTTGTCTTTCTGTCTCTCTATCTCTCTGTGCCTGTGTCTGTTTTCTGCCTTTTTTTCTCACTCTGTGTGTCTGAGTGTCTGTCTGTTTGTATGTCTGTCTGTTTGTCTCCATTTCTGTTTCTGATTCTCGTTCTCCCCTCCTCTACCCACCCCCCTCTTTAACTCTCTCTCTCTCTCTCTCTCTCTCTCTCTCTCACTCTCTCTCTCTCGCTCTCTCCTTATCTCTCTCCCCACACACCCTTCTACTTTCTGTCAATTACAGGGATAAAAAACACACATCAACATTAGTTTTTGCTCTGCACACACAGAAATACGGATGTATTTGCTAAGTTGTTTGTATCTTCATAATTAAATTGTCCTTTCTTTTATCTCTTTTTTTCCTTCCACCCCAGTCTAGTTTTTAAAGAGCGAGTGACGAAAACTGATACTTTATGCCCAAAGACATAACATCACTTTTTGTTTTTAATAATTAATCTACCTTTTTTAAGTCAACATTTTGTTGCAGTTGCAACACAAATAGAACATATTATGAGAGCCAGAGACAAGAGTTGTAACCAGAGAAAAACAAACACAAAAAGAAGCTAGGGACAAGAGGACAATCGATGTTTGATAGGAAAAACGTAGCAAATTACATAGAAGCACAAGTCAACCAACAGCAATACTATTTATGTATGCTGAAGTGGGTGAGGTGTGTATCGTTGTATGAGTATAACTATAATAATTTATATATTAATATGTACCCTAACCCTAATCATAACCCTTACCCGAACTCTAACCCAAACTCTAACCCTAACCATAACCCTGACCCTAAACTCTAAGTCTAACCTTAACCTTTACAACAACCCTAACCCTGATCCCAACCCTAACCCAAACACTAAACCTAACCCTAACCTAAACCTAACTCTGACCCTAACCCTGATCCTAATCCTGACCCTAACACTAACCCCATAACCCTAACCTAAACCCTTACCCAAACCCTAAACCTAACCCTGAACCAAACTGACACAGTACAGCTAGGTACACAGTTGTACTAGTAGACGTTCCGAGGTAGACCGTCAGATGGACTGGCATCGGGTCATCATGCAATCATGGTTTACCTCTTCAGGAGCCTCAAAAAGCCCCCGGCGTTGTTGGAGGGGTCGACACCGCGAATGAAGAGAGGGGCCTTGAACAACCAGCCCTAATCTAAACTAGAGGTGGGCAAAATCCGGATAATCTATCTGGAAAACCGGATAATTATCAAGGAAACATTGTCCGAATTCAGACTTGTAACTCCGTTTCCTGACCCGCTTGTCGAAGTGGGTGTATCCATTCGTTGAAGTCATGCTAACCCGTTTGTCGAAGTGGTTCTAACCCATTTGCCGAAGCGGTTCATATCCTATTATTTGCCGAAGAGGTGCACTATCATATTATTCGGATTTTGCTAAAGCAACTCGTTGCCCAGCTCTAACCTAAACCTAACCCTGACCCTAACATTGACCATAACACTAACCCCATAACCCTAACCTAAACCCAAACCCAAACCCTAAACCTAGCCCTAACCAAACTGACACAGTACAGCTAGGTACACATTGTACTAGTAGACGTTCCGAGGTAGACCGTCAGATGGACTGGCAACGGGTAATCATGCAATCATGGTTTACCTCTTCAGGAGCCTCAAAAAGCCGTCGGCGTTGTTGGAGGGGTCTACGCAGCGGATGAAGCGAGGAGCCCTGAACAGCCAGGCACATCGTTGGATGGCTGTGATTTTGTCCTGAGCGCTGTTGCATTGGCCGGCCGCAGTCGCCAGCAGCTTGCACTCATTAGAGCCGTCGGGCCTGGAAAAAAAACGGTGAAGTGGTATGGGTTTAACGCCCCTATCAACACTATTAGGTTATTTAAGGGGCGGGACCTCTTAGTTTAACGTCCGTCTCCGATAGGACCGAGCCAAGTGGGAAGTTCGTGGAAAGTGCCTTTCCCGAGGACACAACGTCGGACTCGGGCCTGGAAAGAGGGATTAAAAAGATAAAGAAAAGAGCTTAATTTAATAAGAGTTTTCCCCCACTTGCCACACTACTAACTACTAAGTCATATTATTGTAAATGCCGATACGATGATTAGATGTGTTTCTTGAGAGTGGGAGTTTTACGGCACTTTCAACACTAATCGGTGATATAAATGCCGAAGATTAGGGGTGTCGGGCATATAAATGGCGAAGATTAGGGGTGTCGGTCCATATAAATGGCGAAGATTAAGGGTGTCGCTAATATAAATGGCGAAGATTAAGGGTGTCGCTCATATAAATGGCGAAGATTAAGGGTGTCGCTCATATAAATGGCGAAGATTAAGGGTGTCGCTCATATAAATGGCGAAGATTAAGGGTGTCGCTCATATAAATGGCGAAGATTAAGGGTGTCGCTCATATAAATGGCGAAGATTAAGGGTGTCGCTCATATAAATGGCGAAGATTAAGGGTGTCGCTCATATAAATGGCGAAGATAAGAGATGTTTCTAGAAGTAAAAGTTTCATGGCACTTGCAACATTAATAGGCCATATAAATGCCGATGATTAGAGGGGTTTCTTGAGCGTAAGAGTTTTACGGCAATTGCAACTCTAATATATCATACAAATGACGAATGTTACAGGTGTTTCTAGAGAGTAAGAGCTTTACGCACTTGCAACTCTAATAGGTCATATAAGTGCCGAAGATTAGAGGTATTTCTTGAAAGTAAGAGTTTCACGGCACTTGCAACACTAATAGAGGTCATATAAATGCCGCAGGCTACATGTGTTCCTAGATAGCAACATGCCAAGAAAAAAAGGAGACGAGAATAGATAAGGACGTTAGATGTTTGATGGGAAAGAAGGAGAAAACCAGACCAGAGCATTTGCAAACCATCCAGCGGTCTGGTCTTGTGAGAGAATTCGCTACTTTCTAATTGGTAGCGTCTACGTTCTCTAACGTTAGACAACATATACAAGCTGTATACGTTCTCTAATGTCAGTAGAGAACCTAAAAATAGCTCACTCACTCTGTCTAACATTGAAATGAGTCGACATTGCTGCTTCCACAGTGCTTACACTTTATTTTCGCAAGCTATTAAGTCTACTTTTTCGAAATTAAAATGCTCGCGAAAATAAAGCTGTCTGCAGTACTGCATCTTGCCTTTACAGCGACGTTAAACCCCTATCAAGCAACCAACACCTTCTATCATTTCACCGAGATGACACCCCCCCCCCAACCCCTTTTTCATAATAATATGTGAGGCAGCGTGGTGGAATCAGGCTCTCGTCAATTTTTGGGCATGTAGAATTATTGGTATCATCTTAAAGCTTGTTTGTTTGTCTTTATTTGGGTGAAAACAAATCCATTTATCTGGAATACAAGTCGAGATATTTGCGAAAGAAGGAGGTCGGGGTCACCTGCTTTCAGAGGTAAAATTAGTGAGAAAATGACCGCCAAAGATTAGTTTTTTCCTTAGCTAAAGAGTCCGTTGTAACTGAAAATTTACATTTTTGTGCCGTTAATCAACACTTTTCAGAAAAATCAACTCAGAAATGAGTTCTTTAATGGGCGTGAACGGTGTTGAGAAAAAAAACCCCAAAATTAGATAAAAATTTACGAACCTGCGGAAAAATGCAAATTTCTTCACTTTGATTATTTTGACGAGAGCCTGATTCCACCATGATGCCTCACATATCATGTTGTAGGCCTACACTTTTCCCCCAAGGAAAGTGCTCTGTGATGGTCCCCCCCCCCCCTAAAACTTTGATAAGTCACAGAAGATCCGGCCTTCTGTAATTGGTAATTTAGAAGATAGCTTGTGGTTTACAGGCGATTTCGTATTCCCTGCTGCTGAAATTTGCGATATTCTGGAGATTATTTCTGAGTTTGATCCTTCGTCTGTCACTATTGCACCCAGGTATTCGAAGCTGCATACGGTCTCAAGCATCTGGTTGTTTACTTGGATTTTCACTGTGATGTTCTTGCCACTGTTAGACATCAGTTTGATCCCCACAGCGTTGATTTCCATGCTGTAGGCTGTGGAGGTCTTTTCAAGACAGACTACAGTAACTAAGCCAGCAATTCGCTCTTCCTCTTGTCCCGCAAGGCTATCTATGTCATCTGCAAAACGTACGTTATAAATCGTTCTGCCGCCAATACTGACTGTTCCTTCGTGATCTTCAAGTGCATCTGTCATGATCCTCTCTACGAAAAAGTTGAATACACAAGAACAAACCAAAAAAGTGGAAGGATCTAATAAAAAAACAACAACATACACACAAACAAACACACAAACAAACAAACAAGCAAGAAACAACAAACACACAAACACACAAACAAACAAACAAACAAAGCACTTGACTCACTGGTTCTGTTCCACGTTAGAGGTGAGAGCCCGGAACAGGAAGAAGTCAGCAATGTTCAGACCGGCGGTATTGATCTGCGCGAAAGGAACCCCATTCCACTCCGCTGGTGCCGTGGCCATGACACGGTCATTGGACAAAAATGTTGGCTCTGCAGACCATAGGTAACGTCAAATAATCAGTGAGCATTACAACAATTATATAATTATAATAATAATAAGGAAGAGGCTAGCCGTACTTAATGACGGCTAGACTGGCAGT